GGGCAGTGGTGGGACTAAAGTTGATGACCTGATTCCTGGGGGCTTCATTCCTGCATGGATTCCTGCAGGATGAGGGCCTCGTCGTTCAGCAGCAGCCGGCCCCGCCTACAGAGGGCCCCAAAAGACCACTCCTTTTTTTTAACCTTTTAATTTCAAGTTTGTACAATTACTGGGAAATTTGTACATTTTGGTGATAAGGGGGGTGTGATTCTGTTTGCAGTGGCACAGTTTTCCGTCAAGGTCATTGAATGAACTGATGCCACCATAACAGGACAGTAACTCTCTGACACAGTTTAAATGTTTTTTCAACTTGTTTTTTTATTTTTATTACTTTTTGGTATTTTTACTACTTTCCATTTGGTTCCCTAAGAAGGGATATAAAAAGAGGAAAATGGTAGTCCACCTTATGAAGGAAATTGCGTAGAAAATGACTTTTATAGTAAAACAAATTGTGTAAGGATAATTTCAGTGGAATTTTATTATGCCCATTTTTGACTGCCTAACCTGGTAATGAAACAGAAACTCATGTGTTTATGGCACGCACGCAACGAAACAGAAAATGTATACTAGTATCCACAGGAAGTATTAATGCAACTGTAGGAAATCCTACTGTTCAAATGTGATGAAGGGAAAACCAAAAGACGAATGCAGATGAAAGCAATTTCTCATACATGCTCGAAGTGGTCTCTAATCTGTGTAGACTGAAATACTGTATCTACAACAGGCGTAGTGCATTACAACAAAGTAGGATATGTACGTACTCAGTGAACAAGTGTGGTAGATTTTCTAACAGCCGTATGTATAGAACACTTCGTAAGGCCTTTGTCTGTTACCTTCACTGTCATTATTCTCACAAATTGCTGTACTCACTGCAATCCACAAAACTGTAGAAATGTGATCGCTTTCAGTGCCTTGTTGTTTGGCTTTGAGGAGACGGCAGAGCGTGGACGACATTGTGGATTTGGTGTGCCATAAGAAGCCTTGCAGAAAACGCCCCACTGCGCCAGTGTTCCCCAGCCCAGTATACGGGACGCCAAGACAGTTCACCTTTTTGTTCTCTCCCAGTTCAGTGTTCTAAGATTAGCTTGGAGGAAGCAAATATGTGTACGGCCTGGGGGTCCCCATGCACTGGGCTGGGAACACTGCACTGGGCTGGGAACACTGCACTGGGCTGGGAACACTGCACTGGGCTGGGAACACTGCACTGCGTGATCGCGGCTCTGATCTGCTCGGTCTGTCCCGTTCTTATGTTCCGATTTAGGCTTCACTTATAATAATGAAACCACTAAGGCTCCATAGTCAGTCATTTTCACTTTTATAAATACAATTTTAATTTTTTAAGTCACTCAGCTGTCATAATTGTTTTTACATATGTGATTATTACATCAGTTATAGAAATCATCACAATTTATGACACCGTCCATGTCTTGTGCCACCATAGCAGTAATATTTATTTTCTATAATAAACTGGTTTCAAAGTTTTAACCTTATCTGAAGCAATCTGTATTGCCAAATAAATATTGACATGGTCATTAATGGATCATAATTTGTGATTATTACTTGATGCCATTCTGTTACTTTGTTTTGTGCTATTTGCCGGTCTATAGAGATTAATCTGTGTGTTAATCCTGAATGTTTAAGTTATTTATCAGAACCACTTTAAATATAGATAAATTAATTGTCAGTATGGTTGATCACTGCAGCTCAGGGACTGACATGGTTCAGTCTGTCTGTCTATAAGTTTTATGTAACAACTCACCTCCAGTTCAAACAAGTGATACATCAGAAAGGTAGAGTTACTAGACTGTGATGCTCCATGCTATTACATTAGTGCTCTAGTGTAGGGGTTTCCCACTCCACTCCTCAGGGAAGCCCAGATGGTCCACGCTATGGCTCCCTCCCAGTTTCCTGCCAGACAGACCCCAGGGGTCCCCGAGGACCAAGTTAGGAAACGCTGCTCTAGTGTGTCCTAATGCTGGCCAGGAAATGCAGTGACAACACTACATAGAAATCTAATAGAGGCTGTACTTTCAGAAAAGTAAGAATTAAAACTACTGTGCAGACATATCAATAAAATTACAAGGCAAAGTACTGCAATCTATCTCAAGTGGCCACTTGACTAGGTGAAAAGCATATAAAGCACTACAAAGAGTCACAGTAATACATAGCCAGCTGAAGATGCACACAGGAAGCGTGTGAGAGATCTGATTACAGATACGAAATACCCACAATGCCACACAGGAGCTCTGGGGACAGCGATTCACCCAGCAATTTTATGGATCCTGCTTAAATAACAGACCAAGTGAAAGGCCCATTGAATTGTGTAATGAAGCAATTAATGACCAGATGTAAAAGCATTTCCAGGGTGTATAGGAATGGAATAAAAAACATGCATCCGTCTTCAAAATGTTTATTGCTTAACAGACATAGGAAAAATTAACAATAGGGAGATGAGGTTTGTTGTACACAAAGGGGGCAAAGCCTTGTAGCAACATTTTATAACTTTTTAAAGATACACTGTTTTAACGCTGAGAGGGTTCAAATGAGATTCAGCACGAGCATGTACTCCACTTGCAGTCACATAAAACAGTGTTTCTCTCATCTAAGGTCTTTGTCTGACCCGAGTCAAAAAAGGGGAGAGAGAGAAACGGACGACATTTAAGATTAGAAGGTGTGTGAGAACAGGCCTGTGAGCCACTTATCACTCAGTGGGTGACCTGCTGGGTGTGAATCTGCACGTCCAATCTCTGGAGGTGAGGCATGACGCAGGACCAAAGGCTCATAGCCTTACACTCTCTTTACCTTTTGTGATCCACTCCCCCAAATGGAACTTGGGAAAAGAAGACATTTGTAAACATCTACTTGTGAGCCTCCAGTTGTTATTGAAGGAATGTATATCAAGTTTCAGGGTATCCATAGAGGTTTTAGGCCAATGTAAGCATATCATATTGGGGCCGCAATCCAGACCAGTCCAATTATGTTGCAATTTTTTAGGGCTTGGACTGAGACTAACCTTCCCCCCCCGCCTCACAGCACCCTTGCAAACAATCAGGTTTGTATATAGACTAGAAATATAAACAATAAAGCTCAGATATATGACTTTACCAAAAAGTATGTCTGATTTTATATTTCCACTTCAACTTTCAGCCTTCACTGAATTTATTAGGAAATGCTACTTGGCTGAAATATCTTTGACTATGAGGAACCTATCGTACATCTGGCATTTGTCATAAGGCGGTACTGGGCGTTCCGCTCAGTCTTCTGCTCAAAATTGGAAAGCAGGACGCTTACACACCACAAATGCCGATGCAAATCTTATAAAACTTAGTCCAAAAAATTGTCAGGTATGTCTAATTTACATTTTACACATTGACTGTCACGAAAATAATGAAGAACACATGCCTTTTGAATTATAAAAAAATTATTTGGTTCATCTGGTTCATCCATCCATCCATCGTCCAATCCGCTTATCCTACTCGGTCGCGGGGGGTCCGGAGCCTATCCCGGAAGCAACGGGCTCGAGGCAGGGAAAAACCCTGGACGGGGGGGCAGCCCATCGCAGGGCACACTCACACACCATTCACTCACACATGCACACCAAAGGGCAATTTCAGCAATGCCAATTAGCCTCAGCATGTCTTTGGACTGTGGAGGGAAACCGGAGTACCCGGAGGAAACTCCACGACGACACAGGGAGAACATGCAAACTCCACATGACAATTGCCTATACGAGCAGTAAATTTGTAGCACGACAATTCTCAAAAGCAGAGTCGTAATTTCCACGGTCTTTACGGTAAAACGATCCGGAAACGGATATAATCCGTTGCCTGGATACAACAAAAGCATTTTCGTCTCTGTCGTAAATGACGGTTTTACTAAAGAAACTAAAGAAAGATGCATCGTTTGTCCCAGAACTCAGCTGGTACTTGGGGTATGTTCGCAGATTAATATAAAATAATAAGACGTGCACGAATCTTTAGAACGTGTTCTAATTTAGTATTACTGTGGATTCTGTACGGCTTTTGGTAGCCAATAGTACCAACTGAGTATCTAGAAAATGCATGTAAAAAACGTGTGAACGCTTTTGGCTAATTGGGTAGCAAAATCTTTGCGTTTTCTCTCTGTGGATACCATTTTTCTAAAAACGGGTAAAAACTGAGGTTGTTCGAAATCATTTTACCCACCAGGGGGCGCAATAAACCTTTCGAAACATAACACAAGGTAGTCATTTCGGAGACCAATAAGACACAGCACTTCTGCACTATTTGAGTGCCCGGCAGTTTTAGGATTAGTAAAGTTTAATTATGTTAGAATTTGGTATTTTCGTGGAAAATCAGGCGTTGTGATATAAATAACCCCTTTATTGAAATTTAAGGCAGCCTGGTTTATCATTCAAAGTATGTGTTCAGTGTATGTGTGGTAAATAAATACAGGAGTGCACAGCCTTTAGTGACATTAGACTTTATGTAGTCAAGGAATGTTTTGACAGTGGGTATTCGCTTCTCTTTTTCTCCTTATTTTACGAGCAGGAATGAGAATACGGGCATGCATTTTCAGCCCTCTGGTACAAGCACATATTGATTCGGTGTGAAGCCGTGCTCCACTGCTGTGCTGCGAAAACTCCATCAGTGTGGAGATGAAGGGGGTGCAGCCGGCTCCCCTGGGGGCTTTGGTGCAGGTGGCGGAGGCTCTCGAAGACGTCGTCCGCCGGTGTGTGGGCCCCCGCGGAGGCCAGGTGTTCTTCACGAAGGACACGGGGGAGGCGCTGATCACCCGCGAGGGGAGGCGGATCCTCACAGCTCTGCAGCTGGATCACCCGGTGGCCAGGTATCAAGGCGCGGAAGTTAGCACTCTGCTCTTCCTGATCATTCAGTAATAAAGAGTAAAGAACATTAATATTTCATAGCTTGATGCGCAGTAGCTACACACTGCACAGCTGCGACGTCACAGAAGTGCTTACCAAGATTTTTACATCAGCTGTTTAGGTATAAAGCTCAGTAATTCAGCTGGGCAAAAAGCTGCATATTTTACTAGTTATCAAGTGTTTAGTAAAAGAAAAAAGGAAAAACAGCTCGATGCTACATTGATAAATCCAGTGTTTAAGTAATGTAATTATTATTTCTGTGGTCTCATACCTCTAGGATTAGGGGTTTGTATGGAGTTTATGCTCTCGCCGTGTTTGCCCGCATCTCTTCAGAGCTTTACGGTATCTTCCTGCAGTCCATGAAATTAGGCGAAACGGTGTTTCTGAATGGCCCATTGTGTGTGAGTGTGTGGCCTGTGACAGATCCGAGGTCTGCCCTGCCTTGTGTGTCCTGGGGTGGGCTCCAAGCACAGTGACCTTATACTGGAAATGTGGTTGTGGAAGATGGGTTATTATATTTCATATCTGATAGAGCAGGGGTCCTCCAACTCTGATATTCTGGTATTTGCCTGAGAACAGGTGTGGCTCACCAATAGCCAGGTAGTATAGAAAACCTGCTGGATAGCTCTCCAGGACCGGAGTTGGAGAACCCTGTGGTAGGGAGTAGTGTTTATATATGATTGTAAATACTAAAATGGAGCCATTACCGGTGTTTCCTGAGGGTCGTGTTGTTGTTGTTGCTAGGGCGCTGGTGGGCTGTGTGTCTGCACATTGCGTCGCCACCGGAGACGGTGCCAAGTCCTTCATCCTGCTGCTGGCAGCGCTTCTCCGCGGAATCCGGGCCACCGGTGGCTCCCCCGTCGCCGGCTGGCGTTCGTCGGGACAGACCGACCCGTGCGGGCGTCTGGAGGCCCGTCGGTCTGCCTGTCAGCTTCTCTCCTTTCAGACGCAGGTTCTGGATGCTGTCGTGAAGGAGCACGTCGCCCCACACGCGACCTCCTTGTTTTCCCACACCAGCCCCGCAGAGGCCAGGCGGGCCCTCAGGCTGCTCCTGGAGGCTTTCTTCCGCGGGCGGGCGGGGCAGGTCCACTGCGGGCTATTGGCCGAGATGGCCTGCGACTTCTACCACAGGTGGAACTGTGAGCGGGACAGGGTCGGCACGCTGAGAATGATCCGCGATCACTTCCCGGAGCTCCACACGTCGGTGACGGGCTTCCCGACCAGCAAGTCGCGAATCCTGCAAGGGCTGGTGCTGCACAGGGATTTGACCGTGTACTGTCCCGCGGAGGGGCCCACCAAAGCCGCGGTGCTCCACACGGCCCTACAGCCACTTCTGACGGAAGCTGACAGCACCCTGATTATCAGTTCCAGCCACCAGTTCCATGGCTGGGGGACCTGGGTTGCCGGCCAAGTGGAGCAGAACGTGGCTTCCTTGGAGAACTTGCAGGTGAAGCTCCTGCTGTCTGCCGTGAAGCAGACGGACCTAGTACTCTACCACGCCAAGAAGGCCGGAATGTCGGTGGTGGAGTGCCTCGACATGGAGGAGCTCTCTCTCTTCTGTCGCCTCAGTGGAGTCCTGCCTTTGACGGACTTGGCCGACCTGGTGGACAATGCCCACGTTGCCTCAGTGACCTTCTGCCAGCCCGTGGTGCTGGGCTCTCGCAGGTACACGCATGTTGGCATCCCGGAGGGGCGGGACTTCCTCCCCCATTGCCTGGTCCTCTGCGGGCCCGCGGAGGGTCTGACGAATCAGTGCGTTTCGGCATTCGGTGACGCCATCAGGGTGATGCAGCGGGTTTGCGAGCCTGTCCGCTGTCAGCACCGGCATATGGGGAAAAGGGGCAACATAAACTTGCCTTCCAGTCTAGAGAAAAGCCCCAGCTCACAGAATGAGACTGAGATGGGTACCATGAAGATCACAGCTATCATTTCTCAGGATATTCCAGGAGTCCTGAAAGATTCGTATATGGGCCTGGAATGGCCAACACATGCCACAAAAAGAGAGAACATTTTAGTAGAAAACCGTTATACGCCAGATCTAAATATCTCTATTCAAGGACATGACTCTGCAGAAACCACAGTGGGAGGAGGTCAAAAGACCTCAGACATGACAGCCTCAGTCAAGGAAAATCTATTCTACTCAAACACGTTAATAGAGCCAGGTGCCGTGTTACCAGCAGGGGGAGCTTTTGAGTTTCTGCTACACCATTACCTCCTGAAGTACACCTCCCGCACACACTGCCCTGATACCCAGGCAGCCTGCAGGCTGGTGGCCGAGGCTCTTCTGAGCCTGCCCAGGCAGGTCTATGCGCACAGCGGCACGGGCGGTCACTTCCTGAAGGTCTACACCAGCTTTGTGTCCAGGATTCAGAGCGGCGAGCCGGCGAGGCCTGTCAGCCTGGGCCCCGAGGGACTCGAGTCAGTGGCCTGTAAATACGATCTTCTGGTCTCCGTGCTGCAGTGCCTGGGAAGGCTGCTGTCTGTGGACGCCATCATTCACACGACCGCGTTGCGTGTAGCGGACCAAGCCAGGGAGGAAGACGAGGATGAGGACGATCTAAGCGTTCGCGCTCCTAGGCTGTGTCAGCACTGAGCTTCCGCAGGTGTATAAAATGCTCTATTTATATTTATGTGGTCGGCCCCTCTCTAAGAGTTACAGCCACTGTGGGCTAATGGAACCTAAATGAATAATGCCGAGTTGGAACACAAATGTGGCCTGTTCAGCATGTACTGTGATTGTCATCTTTTAATGTTGCAGTGGCTGCAGCTTCACTTAAAATCGTGGCTCTAATTAAATTTGCTTTTATCCAAAGCAATATAGTCAGACAGTCTCTGGAACAATTGGGGGTGCTTGGGCCCAACAGTCAAATCGCTTTGCCGACTTTGGGTTTGAACCAGCAACCTTCAAGTTGTAGACGATGTGATGTAATTTGCTGACTCTCACACCACCACCAAGCATCAATTGTAGTCTAGGAATCATTGTAACATTATGAAACCTGAAGTTCTGTCATGTGAAAGTACAGTAATGTTGAGTGTTAATGTGCACATCAGGGTTAGGGCCATTCCATTCTGTTTAATTCAGTTCAATTTGTATAGTGCATTTTCACAACATTACATTGTCTCAAAGCACTTTACATTCTCCCTGCCCCCAGTGAGCAATCCAGAGGCGACAGTGGCGAGGAAAAACTCCCTAGAAGGAAGAAACCTTGGGAGGAATCAGATTCAAGGGGGGAGCCCATCCTCCATTCCTGAATGCATTCATCAATTCCAATCCAAATCAGGGAATGCAACTGGAGTTGGAATTTAAATCTCCCTGAAATTCGTATTCAATTCCAATTCTGTCCCCATGGTTTTTTTCCAGTTCCATTTCCTGATTTGGATTGGAATTGATGAATGCATTCCAGAATGGCCCCAGCCCTGGTGTACATCTTGTGATGAGGCTATTGATGGTGACGCTCTGGCTTTTAGGTGCCAATGGATTGGTCCTGGCACCTTGCTCTCTAGGTGAAGAGCACTGCATGAACACTGCAATCCCTTAGAGGAGTATAGGCCACCTGCCACAAGGCAAGACACAGACCGGAGAACTGCAAACTTGTAACGGTTGTAACCTGTAACGGTTTCCAAATATAGCTTGAACTTTCAGTAAGCAGATTATTCCTTGTTTGTGTGGTGGTGTTACCATGCTGCCATTACAGTGTACGCCTTGGATATAATCACTACAAGTGACCCATTAGCTGTGTGCTGCTAGGGTGAAATTAAACATCCCTGTTGAGTGTCTTAGGTTGGGAAACACTGCTGATTATTCCCTCTCTCCCTTTGATGGCTATTGAAGCTCTGTTCATTTGGTCTTGTGGAACATGTGGTAATACATTCACTTTGTGGTCGAGTGCAAAAGACGAAATCATCCTGAGCACAAAGATGCTTCCGTGAGTGTGAGAATGTAATGAAAGGAGCGGTACACATCATAACATTTAACCACTAATGGGTGAAGTGAAATACATTGATTACCTTATTACACCTGTCAAGGGTGACATTGTATTTTAGGCAAGGGAACAGTCAGTTCCTGAAGTTGATGTGTTGGAAGCAGGAAAAATGGGCAAGTGTAAGGATCAGAGTGACTTTGACAAGGACCACATTTTGATGACTGGGTCAGAGCATCTCCAAAACGGCAGGTTTTGTGGGGTGTTCCCAGTATGCAGTGGTCAGTATCTACCAAAAGTGTTCCTAGGAAGGCCAGTCTATGGGATGTACTGGACAAACAAGTCGGACCCATGGAGGTCCCACCTCGCAATTTACAGGACTTGAAGGATCTGCTGCTAACGTCTTGGTGCCAGATACCACAGGACACCTTCAGAGGTCGTGTGGAGTTCATGCCCTGATGGGTCAGAGCTGTTTTGGTGGTATGAGGAGGACCTACACAATATTAGGTAGATGGTTTTAATGTTATGGCTGATTGTTGTGTAATTCAACCAAAAGACAGGAGAATGATCATTTAGACTGAGATTGTATACAGAGGAGGATCTTAATTAAACATCCCCTTCAGTGATCTCTGCTGCTTAGGTGAATTGGCATCCCTGAACTGCACTTCATGGGTGATTGTTAATGAGTGCCCAGCGTTAAACTTCGAGTTTGATCCAAGGTGTACTCTACCCTGTGCCCTGTGCATCTGGCGGTAGGTTTTAAGGTCATTGTTACTAGTGACAAAGTTTTAAACGAGGGATAAAAATGGAAAAAGATCCGTAAAAATGTCCCGGTACCCTGTACCAGTGCATACTGTCACAAAGCAGCACCGATTCTGACCGAGAACTGAAAGGGTGCACCTGGGGAAATGTGGCGATGAAACTGTGCTAGAAAAAGATGTGCTGCCTTGTATTTCTCCATCTTTATTTTGAGTGTTAACCCTCGATACAATCTGCAGGAACCTCTATGATCTCTGGATAGGGAAACTAACTCTGACCCCTCTGTAGACCCTTAACCAGAGGTGCTTCTCCCCATGATGACTTCTGGCTGTATGTTGCATGTGCTGCAAAAGACATTTGTGTCCAAAGTGTCTTCAGCAGAAATACATCATCGTGTGTCTGTCACACACCCCTAAATTGTTCCATCTACTGAAAGTCTGAGTATGAGGCAGCGATGTGGATTTTTCTTTTTGGCTCTGACAGCTGATGTCACCCATCTGACCTGGGTCCTGTCAGCACTTCTCATAAGAGACTCTGGGCTCTTTTAATCTGAAATATGTAGGCACTCAGCCAGGTGCTCTAAGAGGAAGGCAGCATAGCCTCTTCTCATAAAACGCTGCAAATGGTATGTTTACTGGATGCAAAATTGGAGGGTATCATTCAGCAGGAAGCTGTCTGCAGAGCAGCGGAGGGCCTAAACATGACGGAGGAAGGCTCTTTAAATCCGGGTAAAATAATGGACCTTCTGATGCTTGTTATGTAATATTTTCTCAGATGGCTTCGTCAACATGCTACTTTTTTTTTTTTCCTTCCCAGTTGATCATAACATGTTTTAACTGGTTGAGCCGGCAGTGAAGTCTGGATATCGAGCTTGCAGCCTGACTGTCCCCCTTTTCGCAGTGACCAATTGCAGTGGACGGGGTTAAGCCGTGCCTCTGCTCTTCCCCCTCCTCCTCCTCCTCCTCCTCCTGCTCTCGCACCACCCCCCCCCATCCATGAAAAGCCCGAATGCCTGTGACGGCCGTCAGAGCCCGGCGGCTGCTGGCTCAGCGTGATATTTGTCCTCCACGCGGTGCAGGATTAGCGTTAGCATTTCCACCGCCGAGCGAAGGGACACGGGGAGCGATTCTGCAAAAAGAAAGGGAAGAAAGCCCAGCGTCCAGGCCTTCGCTCCAAGGCCAGGCTCAGAAGAAGCTCCCAGCTCGCAGTGTGCCAGCTCCCCCATCCACACACAAGCAGCTGGTCCAGCACCGAGGGCCCAGGGCTTGTGACCTGGCTCCGACTGGCTGGGTGCTGCTCTGTAGCTGTGGATGCATGCTGGTTAGATGCATGGTGAGATACGAGTCAGAATCTGGCTCGTCATCCCATATACTCACAGACTAACTCTGTCCTGTAAGTCATGTTCTGATTTGGGGATATTAGACTGAGAAAGTCATAAAAAAGGCAAAACCTCTCTTAATTTCATACAAATGTAATCAAAATCAGCTGTAGGGGTAGTACATAAATATTATAATGTCAATATCCTATAAAAATGAGTGACTTTAAGTTACATAATATCAGTTCAGCCCCTTCCTATTCCCTGCCTTGTGCACATAGCTTCCAGGATAGACTCTGGACCCCCGCAACCATGAATAGGACAAGCGGTTATAGAAGATGGATGGATGGAAGGATGGCATCACCTGAATGATGTTCAGATTTGAGTTCTTATGTTCCTACTGTAAGAAAACCAAAAAAGGCCTGATTCCTCTTTACTTAGAATGTTCTTATGTTGCACTTCTGCCCCTTGAATAGTCTTATTAGGTTCTTGCTTTGTCAGACGTTGTTGTGTAGCTCCTGCTCCAATGCTACACCTGGACATTCATAGGCAGCTCAGCCTATAGATGCACTTATGCACCTTGACAGGTGTTGATATATGGAAAAAAGCATCTGCTAAATATCCATCCATCCAACCATTTTCTGAAACTGCTTGTCCTATTCAGGGTCGGGGGGTGGGGGGTCCATAGGCTATGAGAATAAGGCAGGGAACAACCCAGGATGGGGCTCCAACCAACCCATCGCAGGGCACACTCACACACCATTCACCCTTATGGGCAATTTAGTCATTCCAATCAGCCTCAGCACATCTTTGGACTGTGGGGGGAACCTGGAGGAAACCCCACAATGACATGGGGAGAACATGCCGTCTCCACACGCAGAACCCTGGAGGAGCCTCGAACCCAGGTCCCAGAGGTGTGAAGCGACAATGCTGCCCCGGTCTGCTGAATATGTTAAATGTGAATATACAAACAGATATAGGTCCCTATCAGTACAGCTGTCGGTGGCTCCTCTCAGCTACTGTACCTCGCTTTCACATGAGCTCAAGCATCCTTTGCCGTTGACGCCTTTACATCCTGTACTGATCATACTGATATCTCAGCTCTTTGTCTGTCCACTCGTGTCAGCGGCTATCGAGCCCCCGGTCTGGGCAGGCAGGTCACATTGACATCTCCCCACACCTGCACAGTGATCTGATAAACCTCCCTCTCGGTCCGGAACCAGTGCCTGTCACAGCTGATGTTGGTATAGCAGTGAGGGACAGTATTGTATCATTGAAGGAGGGAAAATTAAGACAAGTCCAGAAGAAGCAAAAAAAAAATTAAAATGAGGAGAGGCTATGACAACAGTGTCCTCTTCTGTGGAATGTTCTCCATGATGAAACCTTTTTAGCTTCTCTCAGTCCAGGTTCTGCACCCCTGTGGTGACAGGCCACAGCACTTGCAGGCTCTCAATCTGCCGAAACACAACACAATCAAAGCTCTTGATTGGATTCATTTGTGGGTGTTCCACAAAGCAGGATTTCTTGCTTAGCTGGATAACTTGTTGGATTTAAGGTAGTCTGGGCTAAATTGGCTTTATCTTTGTTCACTTACGTTTAGCTCAGGCTACCTTAAATCCAACAAGCTAACTAGCTAAGCAAGAAACCCTCCTTCGTGGAACACCTCCCTGGAATCAAGATTGAAAACCAAAACAAAGCAGTTCACGGCAGTGTTTCCCAGTCCGGTCCTTCAGGACCCACAGGCAGTCCACGTCTTTGCTCCCTCCTAGCTCCCAGTAGGGATGGATGCAAAAATGTGGACTGTTTGACAGAGCTCAGAGGGAGCAAAAATGTGGACTGTCCTTGGGTCCCTGAGGACTGGATTGGGAAACACTGATCCAGAGGAAAGGTGTGTTTTTCGGTTATGAGATATGTTATGATGTCTCTGCCTTGTACATGAAGTCCAAATGCTGCCACTACCTTTCAGTCACATGACAAAAGAAGCAGCCTGTCATCAGTACTGAATTGTCCGTGTGCAGCTGCCGAACGTCTCAGGGACACTGCATCAGGGGGCATCGCAGATCAATCAGGCGTGACTCAGCAGACAGCTGTGCGCTGTACGGGATTGCTGCACTTACCCTCTTGCCCCAGCTGTCATCTTTTTCTCTTGGTGAAGAACTACAGGAAGGCTAGCAGCCATTGAACTTCTGTTGTAGTTCCATGGATAAACTTGGGATCAGGCTACAGGCATGTTGATTGTATATGTGTCTTTATTTAGTTCATTCCATTATAGAAATTTGGTAACACTTTATTTAAAGCAGTCATGTATAATGCAGTATGGATAGCTTCATAATGCATTATAATGCATTCATAAAGTATTATAAACACGGATATAACTATTTATAGAAAGGCATTGGTGGCACAAGGCATTTATAGAAACACGTTATAGCCATGTTTACTATGCATTATGAATGCTATATGAAACTCTCATCTATAATGCACTATAAATACCTTCATGACACCCCATCCTGGGTTGTTCCCTGCCTTGTGCCCATAGCCTCCAAGATAGGCTCTGGACCCCCCATGACCCTGAATAGGCTAAGCAGCTTCAGAAAATGAATGGACGGCTACTTGAAGTGTTACTGAAAAGTTCTTATGAGACAAATTTTAAGAGCATGACGTGATTGGTCCCAGACTATAAAATGTTCTCATTGAACCAAAAACTGAGGTTTGACTTGGAAATAATCATTCCCAGCAGGAGAAGTCAGACTTATTGGAAAAGGCTGCAGTTGCTTGAGTTTCCTCTA